GACGGACCTGTTAGGGAAGCGGTAAGGCAGAGGAGGCAGAGGAGGCAACGGTGGCGGTCCATGCGGAGAGATCTTCCGGTACCACCGGAAACCAGAAGCATTGCATTGGAATGGTTAGGTGGGAGCAGATTGCAGGCCGGGGAGGCCAGTTTTGCTGCAGCAGAAGAGGAAGAGAGGCCGACCACTGCTGAAGTAACCAAAACATGTGAGAACAAATATCCGTGTTTGGACAATGAAACGTCTTCCAGAAAGAAAGAAGAAAATGAAAAGGGAAACGTAAACGAAGGTTGCTTCTTCGATTGCAACATATGCTTGGATTTGGCAAAGGAGCCTGTCGTCACTTGTTGTGGCCACTTGTTTTGCTGGCCTTGTCTTTATCAGTGGATACATGTCCATTCTGATGCAAAAGAGTGTCCTGTTTGCAAGGGGGAGGTGACGATGAAGAACGTGACTCCAATTTACGGGCGTGGGAGTGGGACCCGTGAGACTGAAGAGGACTCGTCCTTTGCACTCAAAGTCCCCCATAGACCTCAAGCACGCCGAGTCGAGAGTTGGAGACAAACCATCCAGAGGGCAGCATTCAGCATCCCAATGGATGAGATGATTAGGCGGCTGGGAAGTAGGTTTGATCTCGCACAGGTTCAGACTCAAAACCGGGATGGGTCCCAGGAATCTCCAGGGGATATTCTCAACAGGTTTTTTACCTCACGGGGACGCAGAGAGCATCATAATCCTCCCCACATCTCAGTGGATGACAGAGATTCTGGTTCAAGCATTGCTGCTGTTATTCACTCGGAGAGTCAAACTGTGGAAAATGTTATTGAGATTGATTCTACAGTGTCTCTTTCCACCTCATCCTCCAGACGAAGAAGCGACCATACCTCTAGAGTTTCAGATGTTGATAGTGGAGACTCACGCCCGCTTAGGAGGAGGAGATTCAACTGAGCTTCCTCCTCATCTATCTTATTTTCCATTTAAGTTTTCATAAATTTCTTTCTGCATGATTGTGTTTGCTCAAGTCTCTAGTATAAACGCGGCCATTATATATAGGCATTTCCCTCAAATTTTATATGCTCTAAACGTTGTTGAACTTGCTGCCATGATGAGATATTGCTCACATGGGGCATTCATAATATGCATTGTTAAGTTTTCTTTTTCATTCCATTTTAATTATTGACTGTAAATTGCCCTCAATTGCGTAACGTTTTTTTTGGTGAGCAGTAATTTTGTATTGTTTCTTATGCGAAATATCTGTGATTTACTGAGTTGCACCATCCTTCTCCTCATCTCAATCAATAAATTCTTGACACAGTCGGATCCGACTAGAAGTTTGAAATCATTTTTTCATACTGTATACAATTGCGTGAATTGCAAATTTGCAATTAAAGTCATTGCGTTATGCGCCAGTAGCAAAACTGGACTCTTTGCTTCAAATCTTATCTTACTATGTACAAAGCAAAAAAAGAAGCAAGATCAGTGTTCCTGCCAAAATTAGTTAACTGTACACCCACACTTAGGAATAAAGAGTAAAAAGGAAAAAGAGGGATTCTTAGGCCCAAATTTGGCCCAAATTAAATTAATATACCCTATAAATATATATATATATATATATATATATATATATATATATATATAAGGGGAAGGATATTTATTAGAAAAGGAAAAAGTACAAAGGGGGATGGGACGGATCCCTACAAGCTGTCCCAAAAAAGAGTGAATACTACACTCAAGAGAGAAACTATCCAAACTAATACAGAGTATAAAACAAGCAGCATCAAGCCAAACAATAAAAATCACATGAGGAGAGCAGAATGCAGTCTGCCCAAATGACCAGGATGGGAGTCATTAAGTTCTGTCCAGCAATTCTAGCTAAACGCATGAATCAGCTCCAGAAAAGATGACAGAAATTATGCTCATCCGTAATGTTGATAGATGAAGCAAACACCAGAAACGGTTCCCTTCACATAGTTGTATTTTCACAAGTAACAGCGCCAAAACCATCTAGAGCCAAATTGTTCACTTTCAATTCTAAGCAAAAACATTGAAAGCTTGCCAAAGGTAAAGTCATAAGGTTTATACATTTAAAATGTCATCCAAAGTTAGTGTAAACACACTGCCATTCTCAGACCAGAATTAGATTATGATAATTTATAACCTGATAACGACCTGCAGCACTGGATTAAGGAAGAGGGTGAACATCATGAGGAGAAAATCTTGACAGCATTCTCACCAATCAAATTTG